GCTGCATATGAATCACTCATCAGGTGGTAATAATAGATGTCAGCAGTATTAGTAATGGGTCGTATACTGTTCAAACATATAGTTTCCTTATTTACTTTATATAATTTTACCAAATAAGCAATGAATCACTGCATAATGAAGTGACTGCTGATCTATTACATACAACTACTTTTATTGTGTCCAACACTTTACAATCAGCCGCAGACATAATCATAACTTGTATTCTTTTTTTATCGTCCCCGCAAGCATAAATTGGAACTCTGATATATTTCTGACAGGCACCTGGAGGTGGCATAATGTTAATTTGTTAGGTCAACTCAGTCACAATTTATGAACCAGCAATCACTCTGTCACTGTGAGCCTAGCTTACAGCTTGAGTATATGAAAATAAAATTGGTGAGAGAAGAAAGATGAACTGATGATTTGTCATGAATTTATGACCCTGCCACGCACACACAGACACACACATACACGTGCAGCCAATACAAGTGCCGGCTGGTCATGCCACAGCAGGGTTTTTGGTTGTTGTCCACAGACCCAGATGGTCAGTCCACCTCCTTTGGCAAACCTATGCTTTACCAAGTGAGCTATAAACTTAAAGAGATGCATCAGTTAGGCTTATAGACTGTTGCTCATTAGTCTCAGTGAGTGAAAATAGACTTGACCAACATATCTGTGTCAGAATATGGCTCTTAATCCTCCGACAATAGTGTAATCTTATACTTTTTTTACTTTTAATTTTTATCAAAACTTGTTTTTTATGACCTTCAGTGAACTTGCTGTAAATCTTGTTGCATAATATTTCTGTGATGGCTCTAACTCTCACGAACGAGTGTGTTCTGTGTTTGTGTAGGAGACCAAAACATTTGATCACTCTAAGGTTAATGTTAGAAAATCATCTGAGGTCAGACCTTCTGCACTCCCTTGACCCTAAATACTTGTATTGCCTGTGTTATTTGAGGAGGTGATCCCCCTATGAATCACTATTAACCCAAAATTGCCCCCTTCATTCTAAAGAAAAACAGGGTCAGGACAACTTGGACTGAAACTGCAGAGAGAGAGGTCACTTCTGCTGCCTACATTTCCACTCTCAGAGCTACTCTCTAATGTGCCATAGAAAAAAAAATAATTAGACAGATTGAGCAGATTTGTTTGCATGTAGATACACGCTTCTGACCTGTTAAAACAGTGTTTTATTTAGCTAACTTAAGTAACCAGACATATTTAATCACTAGTCCCCATGTAGTCTCTGTTATTCCTGCTCACTGGTGCTCTCACAGTGGTTTCCATCTGGTATGCATCACTATGGCAGCTGAGTTTTTTGAACAGGCATAAGGTCAAGTGAACACTTCACACAAGTGTCATTGAGGGCCACATTAACAGACCACCACCCTCATTTCCAACAAGCCCCCTTTAGTATAGACATTAGGGCATGATTAATGTAACCATGCAGCCTCTGCCTTTGTGAAACACTAAAATACTGAATTTAACAAGTGACCAGAAAATACAAATGCCTGTACAGTGCAATCCTTCAAAAAACCTCATTATGTAATGTTGTTTGCCTCATTTCAAGGGTAAATCTGAAAGATATAGTTTGTACCATGTGCCTTATATTGGTCCGCATTATGCTGTAAGATATAAATAACACAAGTGATTAATATGTTTCAAAGATATAAAGTCAGTTAAAGTAAAAGGAAAATAGGAGGTAGTGAAGAAGGTATTCTCATCCTAATCATCTCTAATGCAAAATGTTGTCTGTTCAGATCCCTACCCTCATTTAAACTTTCTCTACTGCTTTCTTACACTAATAGCACAAGGCCTGTTTGAACTATTACATGTTATTTGTAAATGATAATTCCATAATTTATCTGCAACTACAGAGACAGAGGTGGGGAGTCAGTGAATTGGTGCTGGGCTGGCAAGCAATCTGATCACCACATTAATATTGAGGAGAAAATTACATGTTTACTAATGGTTGCAATGGCAAGACAAACAATCCAATCTGACCGTGTGGCTGTGAGTTCCTACTGAGACTGGGACGAGGGGAGGAGAGGGTAAAATTAATATTTCATAATCACAGATTTGGTTTATGAGTGCATGCGAGAAAGTGACATGAGGGAAAAGAGGGATGCCAAAGTGTGTCTTTGCTTCCCTCTGTGTCTCATTCACAAAAAGGAAAACATCACACTAAAATATGTTGAGGTGGGTACAACTTTTGCGTGAATGCATTCGGTACACAAATGTATGTTCTGCTTATAATATGAGAAAAAGATTTAAAGGAACAAGAATATGGATTTAGGAGTGATTTAATCATTGACAATGTCAACACTGCGTGTGGTTAAAGCTCACTGTTGGGCTGTTGGTTTGAATGTGCATGTATGGGAGTGGGGATAAAAAACCTCACTGCTGAAATGCAGTTATTAATCACAGTGCGAGCGTTGATTCATCTGTCTTGGAGGCAGTTTGGAAGATGGACTCTATTTACTGCTAAAGCTGTTTGAGGGGCTTTGGGAGGCAGCCATCAATCTCTTGGCTATCTTGAAAAGAAGGAGCCAATGCACAGGCATCAGTTTCAATCACCTCCCAGAGACAGGTGGTATGGTAAGCTGCTGCACAATAGTTTTTTCTTATTCACTCCTTCCCTTCTTCTCTACCTCAAGGTGAAGTTTTTCCCTCCCTGGGGAAGCATGTTATTAATGTGTTTTATCATAATAATAATAATATCCCCTAAAAATACACATTGCACCCTGCCCTCTTGCTCCCTTGCTGTTTGGCACCCTGTGTTCCTAATTAGCATCTTCAATTAACCCACGTTAATTGCCAACCATGGAAAGGTGGAGGAACCTGGCAAGTTGGCGCCACAGGGAGCCCTTCTGTAAATGAGTGGTGGTGTAATGCGGAAGTAGGCAGGTAAAGAGGGGACTGCAGTCAAAAGCATCTGTAACCTCAACCTGCAAAGGATTGCCTTTACGTGATAGTAGATTGAATAGATGAGACACTGTTAAAGGCAAACCACAACACCTAAGTGGGACTGTGAACGTTGTTTTAAAATACACATTGGTTATGTGTAGTTAAATAACAATCACACTTGGTTTTGAACTGCATCTCTCCCCCCCACCATCCTTTTTCATTTGAGTCACAAGGGCCTATTACCTCTGCAGGGGTCTAATGGTAACACATTACCATCCATCGCTCCCTCTTTCTTAATATCATCTTGTTTTTGTTTTGCGTCACAGGGGGTATTGCTAGTATTGCTCTGCACATTGTAGAACACTTAATGACTGTTTTATTTTGCTGCTTTGATCCATCTTGATCAGTCGGTCCATACAAAGTAAATACACATAGGAAGACTAGCTGTCCCATTACTTTTACCTGATGCTTACAAACTATTTTGTCATATTAACTTTAAATCATTGCTGTATGGAGCAAAATATGAGAACACAGCTTGTCTTGTTGGTAGACTGCCTTTTCTGCAAAGCCTAGATAGCCCAGTTCATTCGCACAGCAATATCGGCCCATTAATGCAGTCAGCACTTTAGCGTAACACCAGGGGAACTCCCCAAGCCCCCCAGATAGACTGGAATCAATTGGAGTTGGATGGCATTAGATGTGTGGAGTGCAGCCAGAATGGTCTAGGGTGATGTTCTTAAGAAGTGGGGGGCCAACAAAGGTCAACAGTAACAGCTGATTTCACAGAAGAAAAAAAACACACAAAAAAGGCTGCTTTTTTTCCTCTTAAAATTTCAGTACAGTAACTTCTCTTGCCTTCTTCTGACCTTTCATTACCACATTATTACTCCTGTAGCCCCTGAAAGGCTGGTGGCTGTCATCCCCCAACACTGTGTTTGTGTGTATATGCATGTGTCCATCATACCAAAATGAAGGTAAGCAGCTTCCTCACCCACACAACATTCACATTCTGTTGTGGATAGTGCTAGAGATACTACCATAAGACATACCTGAACCTCTCTTAAACAGCCTGAATCAGTTGGCTCACATGCTCAGTTTAGGAATAAGAGGATTTTAAAAAATGCTCATAAATATCTGAACCTTTTTCTGAAAGGTAGGAATTCATCTTCAGTTTTGCAGCGCTTTTCCTTCTCTGTCTGCGAATCATGTTTCATCAAAAGGGAGATTAGTCAGATCAAGTTATTTGGATTTTGATTATTCTATGCCTCAGACCACAATGGTGCAAGCGTACAATCAGTTAGACACTCTGAGAAGAGGGGAAGTCTGATTACCCATGATTAGAACAACTTTCCTTGCTGCTTATCATTGGCTATATAGGCATTAATCTGAGTGCTGATTGGTTGAAAAAGATCTGAAGCACAGGGCATTTTCTGGGCAACAAGGTCAAATGAGAAGACACTGAAGTTCACAGTCTGAACTTTTTACTCAGATTTAGACAATTGCTTGTACGAACGAGATGTGGATGTTTGGATGGTTATTCTTATGTACTGAATACTAAAGACATTGTAGAAATTTCACATGTTCATGTAATTACCATAAAGTATGGTGATGATATGATATGGTATGATCTTTTACTGAAATATTGGTAAGGAAGTGATTTGTTTTTACCACTGTAAAAGAAGAATGCAATGACTCTAAATGCAGTAAAACAATTTTGTCTTCAGCTATACGGAGGTGCAATATTGGCTCCCAACAGCTATTTCAATTAGTTTCGAGGCTCCCGATTCCATTAATCATTTGAGTAACACAAAAATATGTACATTCTGTCTACTTGATGCAAACCAATCCAGAAGGGATAACTTTGCATCTATTTGTGTAAGCTGAGACTGTCAGTGGCTATAGCCTTCTCCAACCACCAGACTGACAGTGATATCTGGGTCAAAATCACTTCAGTTACGTGATATTTAAGATATTTTACTGACAACATGTAACTAAAGCTTTTCAAATAAATCAAGCACATTGAATCACCGCAAAACTTGTGCAAAAACAATTCACAATCAGTTTACTGTATCATTTTGTTTAGTCCTTACTCTTAGGAAGGTGAGGTCCCGACTGCGGTCGATGCTTGTGATCTCAAGGTTGCCCATTACGACTTCGCAGTTCTCGTAGTACTTTCTCAGGGTGCGGTACTGCTGCTCCAGGTCCGACAGCGTGCTCAGCTTGTTCTCTGTACCAGCACATACTGGGAAAATAAGAGAAAGGGACAGAGGAAGACAGTGTTAATACAGTTATATTAGATATGGCTGGGTTTGGTTTAGAAAACAATCATACCGACAGGGTCCCACTTTGATTTCCAACAGTTTTGACAAAGAACAAACAGCTTGAAGACTGATCATTAACGCTGCAGTCCTGGTCACCTTGGTAAGATTTTTTTTTATTTGGATGTTGTCACTAAAGACTACCAAGGAAAAAATTTCTAAACATTGCTATATTGCATACATTAAAATAACTACAGCATAGAAACAGGGATTTCATATATTTGTGTGCCAGACTCGGGGCACAAAAATCATTTGGAGAGAATGTGTAGTGTAAACATGAGCCCATGGACATTGAGCTGCAGCACCTGCTCAGTTGGCCTGGTCATGTAAGACTAGGAAGTCACTGGACCCCACTGCACCCCAGCCCCACCTCACATTACCCCTCGGGGCAAATAGATCACATGAAAGCTCTTTAGCGGCTAGCTGGGCTGCGCACTTGACAAGTAATTAGATGGACCCATTTCCACCCATCACACACCTTGCCCCCCTCATGACGACATAAGCCATCTGCCCAATCAACTGTTGCTGCCCACTCTAGCATGAAAAGACACACACGCACACACAATCTCTCACGCACACACACACACACACACACCAACACACACATATGAATATGTAGAGACAGACTGAGAAAAAAGCACATAGATCCCAAGGTCTGTGTCTTGAGTCTGTGTGGAATCAGAGAGCTTTGTGTACAAGCCAAAATAACAAGCAACCCACAATCCCCTTTATCTTTTTCAGTTGTTTCTTAGCAAGATTTTGTGGAAGGCTTCATTGACCTCAAGTGTCCCCTTCTGGATTAATAGCATTACGTGTCCTCGCTGTTTTTGTCCAAGCATATTTTGTAAAGTTGCTGAATTGCTGCCAACTTAAAGATATGGACACAGACATTTGTTCTTTTTAAAGCATTCAAATTTAGTTTCATTTGTATTGCCATGGCGGTGTGGTTTCTTCCACCTGCACCTTCTTGATGACAGAGGAACCATCAGTGTGACAGAGGGGTGGCAGGTCCTTCCCTGAGTCTTGTCACACTGTCACCCATGAGCTGTTACCTCTCTCTCTGAACACCTCCACCTTGAAAGATCTTTACTGACGCTTTGCATTTTAATCCAAGATCCCTTACGCACCCTATGTTACACTATACTGTGCTTTCCTTTTTATACCGCATACACCCCGCGGTTCAACTTGAATGTTTGCAGTCTACCTTTTGTCTAATGATAAACTAGGCCAAACTCATTTACCCTTTTCTCCACACAGGCACTCGCTGGTAAAATATTTCAATTCTATTTCCTATTTACTCCCTACCATTACACCACAGATACATTTGGGGGGGGGGATTCAGCCTCAAGACAACACAGGCTGTAAAGATAAATGGGATTGTGTTTAAACACTTCCACAGCTAAGCAGATATTAGATAAGTGGAACTATTCCGATGTGACCTGGACAATACCCACACGAGCTTGTGGTGATTAGCTAGGTTGCACATAGCATAACGTGCTGCTCAGGAATGATATATGGCAGACCAGGGTGTTTTCAATAACAGTTAGTGTGGGCTTGAGGGGAGCGGGGTGGAGGGTAAGGGGGGTCATAAAGTGAGGATAGGTGTAATAAACTGTTATTGCACCCTTGGGGCAGGGCGCCGAGATCAGAGGAAAGGGGCATTGTGGCATGTGATGTGCGGTGAAATATACTTCTTCATACACATTTGCTTCCTCAAGCATGCCTTCAGTAAGCCTGCTGACTTTTGAAACCTGTCTGGACTTATGTGAAGTCTATATGTTTTTTTTTTTTTTCGTTCCTTATTTTTCCATGTGTGATTTTTAATGAAACACTATGGAATCCTATAGCTCTGCATGAGCCTGAGATGGTGCTGACTGCCAAGTGAACCACAACAAAACCATCTGTGCTGTGTGGAGCGTATACAGAGGAGGTGTGAACTGTTGCGGGTTTACTGCAAAGCTTGGTGATCCTGCTGGTGATATGTCTGCATGTGTGGGAAGGCTGTAAATAATAGACCTTAGGATGTATTTTTCTCCCTCTCACTGCACAATCGAATCCATTTGTCTCCATGCTTAATATGTTACGTCTGAGCCTGAATATCACAGTAAAGGTTCTATAAAGCACAGTCTCTGCCCTTTATATAGTGCAGCCTGCCTACCTAGAACGACCAGCTATAAGACCCAGAGTCGTCGACTGTTTAACATACTGCCTATGATGCAGGAACAGACTGGAAGCACAGATGAATCTTCATATTGTTTAAAACTTACGGCTGTTCTATAAAAGAGAATCCATCTTATCTGTGTGATGGATTTCACTCCCCGGCACACTTAAAGCAGAGAATGCCAATGAGATTCAATGTCTCTCTTCCATATATAGTATATTTGCCTGTGTGAGTAAATTGATTTATTTTTTTTGCAGGAAATTTCTTCACAGAAGTGATGGATTAAGGCAATGAATCACAATAATTCAGAATTTTCCAATACATGTAATTAATGAGAAGATTATGAGCTGATGGGGCGAAATGCTTATCTGGCTCAATTTATATGGTCTAGAAGAGAATTTACATTTTTTTCTAACAACACTTGACATAGACAGCAAGCCATAAGCTTGCCTTGTTTACCCTGTTATTCTTTTTTAAATTACAAAAATATTTGAGGTATGGATGAGGCAAAATTGTATATTTATGAGGAACCAAAGGTTTGCAGGTAATCAGACAGACAAATAGATAGTCTACGTGTATGTGTGGAGAGGCCAGACTTCTCTCTATTTCCTGTGAGAATGAAAGGAGACTCTCCTTCTATTTAACACCCATCTATCTTTCTCTCACAAACTTTTTGAGGGACAGATGGGTTGGTATCTGGTTTTAAATGGCTTCCATGCAGCCCCCATGTGTCTCCAACAGACAACCACCAGACAAGACCAAAATGTATCCATTACTGTTTCTGACAAAAAATCAGTGTCACAGCTAAGGGAATGCAAACAGTGAGTTTCTTACATAAAACAAATAATTGTCTAAATGTTGACAAAGAACATGAAATGCCTCTGAACTGCATTTTCATCAATCTTATTTTCATAAATATCCTCATCAGGATTACCCAGCCACTGCACTGTTGTGGTTTTTGCTCCTCGGCCAATTCATTTCATAGGTAGTGCACACAACAACTTCATCAATAGTGCCTTGTGCGATTATTGAATGCCTATAAAGCTGGCGAGTCTCTGAGGTTTATAGGCTCCTGCCAGGGAAGCCAGCAAAAGGTCATCCCAATAGCCAGTAACTGACTGAATTAAATAAAGTTGCAAATGTCAGTTCCATAAGTAAACACTGTCAATAGCTGAGCTTGCCTAACGTGCCTTGAATAAACAGGAGCACCCTGTAGAAGTTTCGCTCAAACACTGCCTTGCTTAGGACACAAATACTACATTTTCTGTCAGGCAGACTGAATAGTGCCACATCTGAGGTTGGAGCTGTTCTTTGTCCCCTAATGTCCCCCAGATGAGCTTTGTTGGCTAAGTATGAGTTACAAGCCACTGCTTCTGATGGTAATCATTGCCCAGATTATCGTCCATCTGCTGAGCGGCCTAATAAGCATCAGAAACAATAACTAGATGAGTGTTCGTGATGAGGGCACAGTCCAGCAACGCTAACCTCTCACTGCCCTCCGAGCTCTGGTCACCTACCAACAATGCTGTCTCCATATGGTCTACCATAAATTAGCATTCATGCTGGTGCACACAGCGCCAACACCTTGTGGGAGTTTCCACAGAAGATAGCCTGCAGCTGCACCTGTGTACCCTTTGCTTACAGAACCAGACTACATTACATGTATATAATACATTACAAATTTGACTAATGTGTGGTCCATATGTATGAGCAGTACATTTAATATTGTTCAGTCTAACTGTCCTCATGAACCCCTTTTCCTGCAGCAGCCAGCTGTTTTCAGTAAATAAGCTCTGATAAACAGACTGCACACTACCTGCCCAGCACCACACGGTACAGACAAGACAAACCACCAGTGGGTAAAGAAAGTCAAACATTTAGCAAGTTAAGACCTAGATATTGTTTCTCAAGAGTTGGCAGATGCTACAACAGAGCAAAAAAAAAGTAGAGTGAGAGTAAATATCCATCTTACATTTGACAGGTGGCCAGAAACACAACTCCAAATGAATGCTAATGTTGTGCCATGCCTACTGAATGTGTAAATAGCAATTGTTTGCTATGACCCTGATAACATGTCAGTACTGTGAGTTTGTTTGTGTGTTTTGGAGGCCCTCCAAGAGAAAATAAAATAAAAAGTTGAATCAAGTTACTTAATAATAGCAGCTTCACAATATGATTTCAATTGTCCTGCTAGCCTTCAAAATTTCTCATTTCAACTTTTTTTCAAACTGTTTAATTCTCTCCATTGCAGGAACCTCCTCTATAGAAACAGAGAGAGAGAAAAAAAAGAAGCAATACCAGACTGTGAGGGTGTATGCATAAGCACCCTGTGGGAAGTGTGTAAACATGTATTTTCCTCCAATACATCCTTGTATTTAATTAAATTACGTCTCTCTCTCTCTCTCACACACACACACACACACACACAGACACACACACACACTTTATTTATAATTACTTTTGATCAGTAAATATAGTTATTAAACTCTAATTCCCTTACATGGTTGCTAATCTGTCTAGTGCTCACTGATACTGAATGAGAAAGTCTGGTGTTGCAGGAAGCAAAACAGAAGGAGGGAGTGGAAGTTTTGAGTGGAAGCATGCAAACAGTAATCAGGCTGCCACTGATAACACACTAGTGTCACCTATGTCTGTGTGTGTGTTTGTTGCTGCTGTTTATAGTTACTGTTGCTAAATAACAGCATATGCACATTTCAAATATTTCATAGGAAGTTTGAAGAACATGTCTCATAGACAGAATGG